GACTCATGAGGGTCACTATGAGTTTTTGGTAATTTCGTTTGGCCTCACCAATGCTCCTGCAACTTTTCAATCGGTGATGAATGCAATTTTCAAGCCCTTTCTAAGGAAGTTTGTCCTGGTTTTTTTGATGATATCCTAGTATACAGTAGTAGTTGGGCTGAACATTTACAGCACTTGGAGGTGGTTCTTAATATTCTGAAGCAACATCAGTTTGTGGCAAATCAGAAGAAATGCACTTTTGGTCATCACCAAGTGGAATATTTGGGTCATGTCATTTCCAAAGCAGGGGTTGCTGTTGATCCTGCCAAGGTCAACAGTGTGTTACAATGGCCTATTCCTAGGAATGTCAAAGGAGTGCGCGGTTTTTTGGGGTTGACGGGTTATTACCGAAAGTTTATAGCGAATTATGGAAAAATTGCTAAACCCTTAACAGAATTGACAAAGAAGGATGGTTTTAGCTGGAATCCGGCAACTGCCGAAGCTTTTGAGAAATTGAAAGTAGCTGTTACAACTGCCCCAGTTTTAACTCTACCTAATTTCAAGTTCCCCTTTGAAATTGAATGTGATGCCTCAGGAAAAGGAGTTGGTGCAGTATTGTTACAATCAAAGCATCCCATTGCATATTTTAGCAAGGCTTTTGAATCATCTAGGTTATCCAAATCTGCCTATGATAAGGAGTTGATGGCTTTAGTGTTAGCTATTCAACATTGGCGACATTATTTGTTAGGCAGTAGGTTTGTGGTTTATTCTGATCAAAAGAGCCTAAAACCCTTGTTGTACCAACGTATTACCATAGCAAATCAGCAAGAATGGATGGCTAAGTTATTAGGTTTTGACTTTGAGGTGGTGTGCAAGGTGGGAGTGGAAAATAAAGTGGCTGATGCTTTATCTAGACAACACGAGAATGCTAAAATGCAAGCGATTAAATCCTACCCTATTTGGCAGCAGAGCAGCCAACTACAACAAGAAGTATCAAATGATCATTTGCTTAAAAATATTATGGAAGCTATTCAAAAGGATCCTAATGCTAAACCTGGTTTTGCTTTAAAAGGTGGCATCTTATTCTATAAAAATAGGTTAGTTATACCGGCTAACTCGCCACTTATTGAGGAGTTACTCAAAGATTTTCATTCTTCTCCAAGTGGGGGTCACTCCGGCTACCTACGCACTTATAGGAGAATGGCAGGAACTTTATATTGGCAAGGGATGATGTGAAGGATGCAAGATTTTATGAAAGCTTGTGATACTTGTCAACGACAAAAATATGCAGCAACGACTCCTAATGGATTACTAAAACCTCTTCCCATTCCGGTTATGGTGTGGAGTGAGATGTCCATGGATTTCATCACTTGTTTGCCAAAAAGTAATGGATTTGAAGCTATATTGGTTATGGTGGACCGTCTCTCCAAATACAGCCATTTCATTCCTCTTAAACATCCATTTACTGCTCGCTCAATAGCTGCTATTTTTGTGAAGGAAGTGGTTAGATTACATGGCATTCCGGAGTCTATTCTTAGTGATCGTGACCCCTTATTTGTGAGTATTTTTTGGAAAGAGTTGTTCAAATTAGTAGGTATGGTGCTTAAAATGTCCTCGGCATACCATCCCCAAACGGATGGTCAAACAGAAGTAATTAATCGTTGTTTAGAGGTCTATCTACGTTGTTTTATTGCAGATCAACCTAAGACACAGGCACACTGGATTCCATGGGCAGAATTGTGGTACAATACCATATTTCACGTGTCTACCGAGTTCACCCCTTTCGAGGTGGTATATGGTAGAAAGCCTCCAGCGTTGGTGCATTTTTTGGAGGGTGAAACCAGAGTGGAAGTTGTAGCGCAGGAGTTAAGGAACAGAGATGAGGCGTTGCGTCAATTGAAAACTAATTTACAAAAAGCCCAGGAGGACATGAAATTCCAAGCTGACAAGAAACACAAGGTAGTGCAATTTGAGGTGGGTGATTGGGTTTTCCTCAAATTACGTCCTCATCGACAACAATCGGTTGTGCAAAGAATCCATCAAAAACTGGCCCCTAGATTTTTCGGTCCTTATCAAATCCTAAAGAAGATAGGCCAGGTTGCTTATAAGTTGAAGTTACCACCAACATCTAAAATACATCCTACCTTTCCTGTGTCGCAATTGAAGACAGCGGTGGGCAACTATACTGCTACAACTCAGCTACCTATCAGTTTAGAGTCAGAAAAATGGGACATTACTCCGGCTAAGGTTGTGTCATGGAGGAACAAATTTGATGGTGGACAACATAAGAGAGAATGGTTGATTCAATGGGAAGGGATGGATGTTGGAGATGCTACTTGGGAAGAGGAACTGTTGCTGAAGAGTCAATTCCCTGATCTGCGCTTTAAGGACAAGGCTAATGTTGTAGGCGGGGGTGATGATAGGAATGGACCGGATCCCACAAATGATGATGGGAATATGTTAGTTAATAGAGATATTATTGGACCTAAACAATGGAGGGTATATGTGAGAAAGAATAGGAAACTCCACAAATAAATAGGAGTTAGTTTAGGTATTATTCTCCATATAAATAGGAGTTAGTTTAGGGATTATTCTCCATATAAAGAGGAGTGTATGGGGCAGTAGTGAGGCATTGATTGATTTTCTTTTTTTAATATTAGGGTTTGGGCAGTGAGAGAACTGTTTCTCTGACTGAGGAGCAGTAGCTCTGGAATTTATTTTACTTTCATATTCATTAATAAAATACTTTTTTTATCATATTATATCATACCTCTGTTCTATCAGATGATTCAAGAAATTGCTTCTTCACTTTCAATTGTTTGTCGACAGATAACACTTCTCTAATATAAATACTTTCTGCTGCTAAAACCTGCAGTAATTCATCGCAAATAAGAAAATATTCTATAGTTTTTTAATAAATTTACATCTGCTTAAAGATCAATAATATAAATAACAAAGAAAAAAACTATTTTAGTACTATTTTGAATTTACTTGCTTGGTTAAGAATAAGAAACTGTTACGATATTTCAAGTTTTATGTGTATACATGTTGATCTCTCTGAATTACCTTATCAAGATTCTCATTTTCTTTAACTTCCACATCTACTCTCGCTTCCATGAGACGCTTAAAAAGTCTTTTCTCTAAGTGGTCACTAAGCACGGTACTTGGTAAGTCCTTAGCACCATAAAGAGTATCCTTTTTTAAAGGAACATGCACTCCATTTTCAATTTCTCTTAAGCAGCACACAACACATATATACTCAGCACTGCAGTCTAAATCTTTTTGGTTGTTGTAGAGTGCACATATTTGATGCTGCCATTTTTTGCATTTATTACATTCAACCCACTAGAAGAAACATTGATCATTAAAAGTTAGTTTATGGTACTCAACCTAAAGATAAATTATATAGTAATGGTTATTACAACATACCGATTCTTCAACTACTTCATCATTTTTCTTTTTTTCAAGATTTTCCTTAGAAACATGTGTCCCGTTGAATGCAATGCAATCGCCTTTAGATGTATTATAACAGGCGGAGCAAAAACAAAGCTCGGTATCAAATTCCTCATCTTTTCTACAGAAATATGTTTTTCTTCTCCCGATGAGGTGGCCACAACATATACAAAAATTGGCATGTGTTTGCATCGATTCCTGTTCCATCTTCAGTTGTAATTTGTGTTAAAAGAATTATTAACTTTTATATGGTTAAGACAAATTTAAAAGCACATAAAATTATGGACACAAGTAAGTTGCAAATATAGAAATTTAAATTTAAATAAATATCACAGACTAGAAAAAGTTAATAAAAGTTGAACAAACTGACAAATGTAAATAGAATTTGTCAGTGCAACATGCGAGCACATGCATAATTCGAAGTTTCATGATAAAAAGAAGTATCATTCATGAACTTTATACAAATAGCTTAGCCTTTTGGGATAGCCAGTTCATGATAAAACATATAATAATACCTAAACAATAATTGAAAAAGCTAGAAGGTGGCGTACTAACCTGAAGAGATTCCTTTCTCAGACTATGAATATGTTCTGTTATTTGATCATGTGTGAAAAAATAAATCAAGGAAACAAAATCAACAGTTGTATTTGAGGATTTTAATTGTTTCTCTTGATCAACTTTTGGCTCACTAACTTTCCTTTTAAGAACTTTCTCTTCTTGGTTGTATCCAATTATGTCATGTTTGTCCTCTACATAAATAGGAATAGGAATCTTACTTATGAGAGCATGCATAATGGAATTTGACCCAATGTCAATTTCCATTGATTTGTCGCTGCCTATCTCATTAACAATAATATTTGAGGACTTGGTTTGCATCTCTTGATCAGCTGTTGGCTCATCACCTTTCTTTTTGTTGTTTGTCCATAACTCACTTGTGTCTTGTATATTTTCTCCATCAATAGGAAAAACATCCTTGGTGAGATTAGGAAGGCTGGAGTTCAGTGTAATACCATGGTCAAATTCAGCTATGCCCTGCATAACCTTTCCACTAGTAGCAAAAGGATCCATGTCGAGAGTACGCTTCTTAGGTTTCAATCACATCAAGGCTTTCAAGCCCTGGCTCCTCTAAGATTTTTTCAAATGTATCAATGGCCTCATCCTTGTTTATACCTCTAATTCCAGTAGAATGAAACATCGAATTTGTAAGTTCTTCCCCATTGCTCTCAAAATTGATAGAAGAAAGGGGGGAAATTGTGACTGTTGCTGCACTTCCAAAGGTGTTTGAGAGGAATAAGGCTGAATCAACTGGTTATTCCATTGATCATTATTCAACTAGAATATGAATCCAGTACTGGTATGGATTCGGCATTACCAGACAAGACATCATTAACATCATGTCTTACAGTAGAGTTCATCTCAAAATCCAGCATTTGTGGTTGACATTTCCATGTATCTTGCGATTCTAAACAAGACATCCAGCCAAGAAAATGATTGGAAAATCCATAAATCATTTTTTTCCTTTAGTAGGTTGTAGTATGTCAGTATCACCTAAAAAGGGAACCACAATGTCAATAACATAGTTGCAAAAGACAAAACCAATATTGCACAAAAAAGATATTGCAATCTAATGTAAACATACAATTATTTGTGTGTTGATGAGGAAAATAGTTGCTAATGGATCTGGTGTTAGCATCCAGATAGCTTCCATCGCCATAAACAGGTAAGTTACTACGCATATCCATATTAGCAACCGAGGGGACTGATGAACGATCATCAGGAAAACAAGGCAGGTCATGAACAGTAGAAGGGCCAGATTGTCCCCCTTTTGGCATGCTATAATTAGCAGTGACATGAGCTTGAGCATTAGATTCGCCCAATACAGCTTGCACACGGCGAGTCAGTGTCTCCAGGTTCATATATTCCTCCTGCCAAATATGTAAAAAAACAGTTGTACAACTTGCATTTTATAGTCTTTTTCTTTAATCAGCAAAATATATTAAAAACACTCATCCAAGCAATGTCATAGTTAGAAATATTCCAATAAGAGCTAATAGGTGATAATTGCAAAAAAGGGGTTTATAAAGGTGATCGATACCAAACAACATCTAACTAACTTAACTATAGTTTACAAGGGATTTGTGCATTATTTCTATTAAATATAGTTAAGTATATTGCTTATAAATTAATGCAGAAAAGTAATTAGGCAGAAGAATTAATGAATAACTGACAACAACATACAAGATATAGCCAATATATAACATACAATTTGTTCCATTTAAGGCGGACTGCATCTGTAAGTAACTGCAACAGAATATAGACAAGATCCCCATTTTTAGGGTTACACTATTTTAATTCATAAACCTTTGATTTTCATACTTACGGCTTTCTTATTTCAACAAAAGTACTTGAATGCTCATACAAAATTTCCAAAAACAAACCTTTGAAGGAGCAATTGTCCAGAGAAAGATTTCCACAGAAGATAAAGACACCCTATCTTGCCATACAGGATTTGGTATTTGAAGACTGAAATAAAATTTATAGTCAGTATAATTTCGATTCAATTGCAATAAAAAGTCCAAAAGTAGGTGCAACCTGAAAATTAAATTACTTTCACTTACATTTTTTCTTTTAACCAATTATGAATTTGTTCCATTTCAGGACAACCCCGCCAGTCTATGGAGAATCCAACTTTAGTACTTCCAGTTTGATTGCATAATTGATCAAAGTCTGGGAAAACTGATGAATGATTTCTTGATATGCCATAAGCCTTTCTTTTGTCTTCCACGGGAATCCAACTATTGTATTCCATTGTTCGATTCACTAAGCTACAAGATCCACTAAGTTGAACAAATACTAATTAACGATTATGTCAATTAAGTTAGAACATTATTTTTTTTATGCAAGTTAATACATTTTAACGATTTTCTGGTGATAAAATAGATAAATCGACATGTTGTTCGTATTAGAATCAGAATCAATTTTAGCAAGAAGAAACAATTTTCTAACCAAAACCCTAATAGGCACTGAAATCGGTGAAAATTTGGAAATGCACGTTTGAAAATTCACGGCTGAACCAAACAAATGCGTTTGAAAGCTAGGTTGAACCAATAGTAATTAACGATTAATTCTTGATTGTAATGAAAGAAATTAGGGTTAGGATTTTGAAATTGGGAAGAAATAAGGAGAAAATAGGGTTAGAGTGAAAGAGAACGTACAAAGTGAAAACACTGTCGTTTATGTGAAAACCTTGTGAGTAATTATTATGGGGACCAATTGAATTTTCTGAAATCGCTTTCTTTAATCTTCGCTTCTTCTTTTAGTGATAGTAAATAAAATTTCCCTTTTAAGAAGTGATGTGAATTACACGATCTAGACAAGTAATAACTCATAAATTACTTTTTAGCTCTTTATCTTAGAAGGTTCTAGATTTGTTCTATTCATAACCACTACCATATTTTTAGAATGAAGATTTTTCTTTCATCTTTCGAAGTTGCAAGAGAATTCTAAGGATAAACTATTCACTTTTAATTTAACTAATTCCGATAACAAAGGCATTATTTATATTTAAAAAAATATTCTGTCAAAAGAGTTAAAATTTAAATTAATAAAAGTTATAAATAATTTTTTTATAATTAAAATTTAAGTTAATTTGGTTTAAAGTATTAAAATTTATACAATCATATTTTTCTTTCTTAATTCAACTAAATGGGTTTTTTTTTACTAATAAAAAGCTTACAAAATAGGAGTTAAATATAAAGGCCTATAAAAAGAAGAAATTTAAAAATTAAAAATTAAAAACATTTCTAACTTATTTTGTACAAAATCATTTCTAATACCATTAAAAATGAAGTCAAAAATGGTGAGGGAATAACAAGTGAGACCTACATTAGCCATAAAATCAGTACATGAGTTTCATTCCTTATAAATGTGTGAAATGAAAATATGTTTATGAGTAAAGTAAGTCAAACAATCGAAACTTGTGGAAAGCAAACACCATATTTAAAGAGTATGTTTTAATCTATAGCTTATGCCAACCTCTCTCGGTGGCTATAATTATAATATCTATGACTGTTGAGCATTCCTGAGTGAAAAAGGAATAGTATTTCCATGGATTTTGTGACAAGTTTGCCGAAGACGATGAAGTGATGTAATTCCATTTGGGATATTATCGATAGACAGACTAAATCGGCTCATTTTATTCTGATTAAGATCAGTTATCCCTTGCAAAAGTTACATGAGTTGTAAATTGAGAAGGTTGTTAACATGCATGGTATTCCTTCAAGTGTCGTGTTAGATAGAGACCCGAGATTTACGTCGAGGTTTTGGCAAAGTTTGCAAGAAGCATGGGTACTAAGCTGAAGTTGAGTTATGCTTGTATGCTAGAACAAGAAGGTTCTTGGGATAGTTACTTGTCATTGATTAAGCTCACCTACGATAAAAGTTTATGTTCTAGTATTGGAATGAAACTGTTCGAGACTTTGTATAGTAGAAGGTGTATGACACCTTTGTGTTGGTATGATTCTGATGAGAGTGTTATGCTCGAACCTAATATAGTTCAGCATACTACTGAAAAGATCAAGATGATCCAAGAAAAGATGAAAACTTCACAGAGTTTTCAGAAGATTTATCATGATAAGAAGAGGAAAGCACTTCAGTTCTTGGAGAAAAATCAAGTGTTTTTGTGAGTTACTATAATAACTGGTGTTGGTCGAGCTTTGAAGTCTCAAAAGCTCATGCTATGTTTTGTTGGTCCATATCAGATCTTGTAGAGGATAGGAGATGTGGCCTATCAGATTGCCTTGACACCTCGTTTGCTAATCTTTATGTTGTGTTTCATGTGTTTCAGTTGAGGGGATACATTTCGGATCTGTCTCATGTGATCCAATTGGATGATATAGAAGTTAGATAGAAATTGACAGTTGAGACTTTGCTGTTGAGGATTGAGGATCGTGAAGTGAAACAATTGGGTGGTAAGGATATTTCCTTGGTAAAGGTAGTGTGAAGAGAACCAGCTTGTGGAAGCATGACGTGGGAGGTAGAGAGTCAGATGAGAGAGTCATATTTGACTATGTTTCTTTCAGGTAATTTTTTAGGGTAGAAATTTGTTAAGTGGGGGAGAGTGTCGCTACTGCGAAAATAAGGTGCCGGCAAAACAGAAGAGTCGCCACCTTTCGGGAGCCGGTTACGCAAGGGGAAGGTATTAGCATCTCTCACGTCCGTCGTACTCGACGGGATCCACGCTTGTTGTGTTTACTGGACGAGTTGGTTTATCTATCTACCTATCAAGGCTGGCTTAAACAGAAAAGAAAAATGACTCGGCAAAGCGTCGCGCTTTATGCCTACGTATTCTCATCAGAGAAAGAGAAATCAGAGTCAACGTAGTTCGACCAACTACAGGTTACGGGGAAGGTGGCTCGCCAATACATCAGTATTATGCCTACGTACTCTCAACAGGTATGAGAGATCAGAGCTTACGTAGTTCGGGTTACTACGGATTACGGGAATTCAGATTCATCTGTTTTATCGAGTAGGGTTAAACAGCAGTTCCAGCAGTTAGGGACAAAGTCTGTTTGCGTTGGCGCTAAAGTTTAACGACACTCTTTTCTTCAGAAAAGCTTCCTTGGAATTACGGGCCCACGGGGCAAAAAGGGTTTGAAGTTTGTTTTCTGTCTTTTATGAAAGAAGTGTTTTTTATTGTGTTTGCAATTTCAATCGCACTAAAGACTATGACCTGAGAGTGAATGCGTCGCATGTCACCCAAGGGGTGCCATACTAAACATCCAGACTGTTGAAAAGAAGCTCTCCAATAATCCTTTCTCAGGTAGCTTAAGGCTCGTAACGTACGAAAGAAATCATTCATGATTACCGTATCTTAAGCTGTTTTGAGATGAGAAGAGAACAGGCTCAACTAAAAGGAGACTATCAAGTCCTACTGTTGTCATGCCAAGGATTCGTCCTATGGTTGAGGTTTGAAACAGGGAACTCCTAGAAGTTGTCATGCATAGGTTTCAACCTAAAGTTCTATCATCACTTCCTTATCAAAGGAACTGAGATTCCTAAGGGATCATGTCAATGATATACAGAAACAGATAAAGCATCAGCTTAAACAGTAAACAGTAAACGACTGTAAAATGTGTGCAATGCAAGTGAGGGAGGAAATGTGTGTGGGGCATCAGCCTCCACAAGCTCATCTCAACCTCAAGCCAGAATGAATAACAGTAATCATACAGAAAAGTAAAGCAACATGCTATCAAGCAGAATATAAGAGACTGTAATCATACAGTAAAATTAAAGCATGCTATCAAGCAGAATAAACCACATGGGCAAGGAAGCAGGGCTCTACCGAATACCCGCAAGCAAAGCCATACAATAACAATACAAGCAGAGGGAGCAACTCAACCTCTAGTGCAATCATGCTCCTAGCTTAAAGTCAGTCTAATCATGGACTTATTCTAATGCATCAAGCAAATCAAACAAGGCACACCAACACAGAAAAGAAAATAGCCAAGAAAGCAGATCAACCCCTCTCTTAATTCCAAACTTCAGCTCTTCTAACAGCAACTCAGTCTTCAGACATCAATCACCCTTCAAGGCTATCATCTCTCATGACAAATATCAATTTGCTTCTCCATGTCTCAACCCTTCAACATAAGTTTTAACTTAATCTTCTTCTTCCAGCTTCAGCTTTCCAGTCAACTCCACCCTCAGGCTTCACTCTTAACCACAAGTATCAACTTGACTCCTTCAGGCTCTCACTGCATTAATGTAAGTATCAACTTATCTTATCTTTTACTCCTCAAGCCTCAGCTCCACACTCAATCTCAATTGAATCCTCTTCATAAGTATCCACTTAGTCTTCAAGCTTCAGCTCTCCTTGCTTCACCAGTTTTAACTTGGCCTTCTTCTCCTACAAGCTTCAGCTTCTCAGAGTAATCTTCAATCACATGGAAGTGTCAACTTCATCCTTCAATTCTTTCTCAAGCCTCAGCTCTTCATTCAATCTCCATTGGGTCTTCAAGTATCAACTTGCTCTTCTTGCTCTTCAAGCTTCAGCTGCAATGGCAATGCTCTAGGAATCATCCTCTTCCACACTCTTCAATGAAGTCTTCATCTTCAAACTTAAGCTCAACATCTCTCAAGATACTCAAACCAGAAGATAATTGATTGAACATGATGAGGGGAAATGATAAACAAGCTTACCGACAACCAAAGGAAGCCTGCAAGGGTTCATCATTATGAGAGACTGGTTCCCTCAAAGTTCTACTTCCCAGATAAATCCACTCATCCCTCCAAAGGAGGAATGTGAATATCTGAGAAGGACTTTTAGTCATTGGAAGGAATGGAAGCACAGGATGCTTTCCATGTTTGTGAAAGAAATCGTTCTAACTACAAGGCTCTCCCTATGTCCTATCTCCTAATCTTCATCAGACACCTTCAGGCACAAGCAACTCCAGAGCTCCAAGCAACTTCAAGCCACCTCAAGCATCTTCCTCTTGTCTTCAACTCGTCTTTAATCTTAATCAAAGGCAAACCAAGCACAAACCCTAATCTAAGGGAACTAAAAGAGTTAATCTAGTTGAGTTAGTAAGTTAGGATCACCTAAAACCTAGTACTAAAGTTAGTCCTAACTAAAATACTAAAATCAATTGTAAAATCTTACAAAAATTACTATGGGAACCTAGGTCAATCATGACTCTATCACATTAGTTTCAAAGATCAAATCATCAATTTGGACCTAGAACTAAATCCTACATTCTAAGGTATCAACCTAAAACCCTAAAAAGGAAGCATCTAAACATCAATCTAGAA